AGAGAGTGAATATTGGTAGTAAATTAATTTTGGTAGAAAATTAATTTTGTTTTTTATTGTATTGTCTTCTTTTTAGATGAGTTTTTTTAAATGATGAAAGTCAGACACAACCTAATGTAAAGCAAACAGTGCTATGTAGCTTTTGTCAGGAAACTAACTTCTGTATTTACTTTCTGGTTCAAACGCTTTGCTAAGTGGTTCAGCATTTTTACTGAAATCATCTGACATACGTGGAAGACCAGCTAAATACTAAACACTGTATTAGATAATAAAGATACAGAAATTAAATCAGTTTTTACTCCTAGTCTTCTACATTCTCTACCATTTTGACTTTTTAAGTATTTCCTTTGCTTGCTATGGTACTCCCATTTCTTGCTAACTATGCCTGATCCATGAAGATTCTGTTCATAAATGTAAATATTTCCCCCAGGCAAAATTGTCTGATTTTTCTTTAGTCTGAAACTATAGAATATATTATATTAAGTAATGGTTAGTTACACATATGTCTGTCTCTTTTATAGATTATAAACACCTTTAAGATAATAACCTATGCTTCTAGTACCCAGTGCCTGATACAGCTGTTACTCAATAAAACTTTGCTAAATGACAAACTATATCCTTCACAGGAAATAGGAAACGGAGCTTCCTAGGGTAAGTTAAACAAAGACATTTTCCTTTTTTAATAAAATCCAGTAAACTAGCAAAGTGAAAAATTATTTGCTAAGTACATGAATCAGATAGCATTTATTCAATTTAAAGTGGAATGTGTTTACATAATGTGGTATCTTGTGGTGAATTTAAATAATTCAGTTTACAAACACTAAATTATGTTTTTTTCAAAAACAGTTCTGTTCTTGAAAATGAGGCAAACATTTGATGATATTACTATAGGCATTTCAATATTGGTTTGGATGTATACTTGCTCAGTGACCGCTGGTAAAAAAAAATTGTTTCGGTTTTTCCTTTGACTGTCAACGGGAACTAGATTGTTTCATAGACTTAAAAATGATCTTAAAACACGCATAGGTACAATTTGCTTAATAATAGCCATTTAAAAATACTGACACTGTACAAGTCCAACTGAAGAGTCTACACTGACTTTTTTTGGTTTATTTTTAGATATAGATGAATTGTATTTTAAAACTACTTCTCCATTTGTCTAAAGACATATAAATAAAGCATGTATTTTACTATGAATAACAACAGCATTCAGTTAAAGATTAAATCATTTTCAGAATAAAAATTTTTAGTTGAGGACTGCTAAAGATTATTTCTAGGGACAAAGTAAGGGCAAGTGCTAGGTGGGGTATCTGTGGTGCATTAAACAAATCTTTAATTCTAATCTTCTGCCTATAGACTAAAAATGCTTAGACAAATTAATGTTTATTACATGTTTTGAATCTATATGAAGCTAAGTGAATACAGGTAGGACTACAATTTTAACTTTTTAGTTTATTAGTTTGATGCTTTAGAGATAATTATGACCTAGGAGTATAAAACCAGCATTAGGGCATTATTGTGAATTTAATCTAGATTGGGAAATTCAGTCTTGAATTGCTGGGATCAAGGTCATAGAGTACTCGTGTAATGTATTCAGACAGACAGGCTACACAAGGCAACTCAATAGATACTTTTAGGATTAATAGTTTGTTTTATTCAGAGTAGATACCCTTAAGCTCGTTTTTACTCTTTAAAATAAAAGTCCAACATAAATATTAAAATACACTTCAAAGATGATCACAAGAATGTATGTTTGTTTTTTTCAAAAAGTAAATGGAAATTGTTTAGGTAATTTAATAAAGTCATACTGGTTTAGTAAGAGATGGTAGGCATTTTTAGCTCAATGACCATTGTCCAGAATAACTTATAGTCCAGCACAGCAATTACCATAAAGGTCGTATGAATTTTCAAATTCACTGTATATCTCATTCATCATGAAAAACGCCCCTTACCTTTCAAACTGAGACTGAGACTGATCAAATAATAGTTTTCTTTTGTTCTTATTACATACTACATTTCATAGCCTTTTCTTGAATAATGATGTTAATAATTCAATTTTCATTCCCTTCATTTAAAACAGATTCTGACTTGTCAAGAATATATAAAGCATAAGTTATGACTTCAGAACCTTCATTTCTTCAGAACTTATGAACATAAATGATATAAATCCACTTACTTCAATCTATTTTCAGTGTGTCCAATATTTTCATAACTATATCCACTTTATCTCTGCTTTAACTCTCTGGCAGTAATATTAGGAAATATGAGATCTGTGCTGAGTTATTTTACATTCTCTTTTTCCACTTATGTAGAAGCAGTAAATGGGGTAGTTTGCAAATCTAATATTTATTATTTCCTGAATACTTTTGTGAGTATTTTCATTTACTATTGTCAGTTAGATAACATTTTTTAAAGCTTTGTTTGAAACAACTGGAACTTTTAGTAGTTTGATTTTATTCATAGAGTAAATTATTTTCCCACCTGCCTTTAATGTTCTTTTGCTTGGAGTTATATATTGCCAAATCCTTCTCCTTTGTATCTTGCTCAGCAGACTGCACATTCTTTTAAAAGCTTTTGTTTATCATTTATACCACTCTTTCAATCCTGCTATAACCACATACTCTTTAAATCCTTGCCTAACCAAACTGTTCCCTGGAGGCCTTTAACAAATTCACAATTAATGAGGGGTGAGTTTCATTTATAGCTGCATTTGTTTTTAATCTTTCAATTCAATTCAACACATATTTATTAAATTTTCCTACAATAATCATTTTTAAAAGTTTATATTATCTTTTCTTAACGATTGCAGTGCTAAGAAATTCAATTTTAGACTATTTTTCACGCATTCATAGTTTCCAAACATTTAACCCTAGCAACAAATTGACTAATTTTGGGATATAATGGCTGCTGCTGGGGATTTTAGAAGTCAACAATTAATAGGTCTCAGAGTGTTTGAAAGGCTAAACAGTCCACATTTTTACCTTTAAGCACATTAGTAAACTTTTTCCATATCTGGACATCATGAGGAGGTGTGCGGTGTGTGTGTATTTTTCCCCCAAATTTAACCTACACTTCTATCATACTATGTACTAGGAACATTTACAGTTACTTTGTCAATATTGATTTACTCAATTTTCATAATAACTCCATGTACTAGGTGCTATCCTTACTGTACACCCGCCCCATTTGACAAATAAAAACTCTGAGTATAGAGTGGTTAAGTAACTTGACTTGAATTTTTTTCTAAGAAGCCCAACCATGGAAAGCTCTTTTGATATAAATAACATACTGAAAAATAATCTCACTATACCTATTATCAATAAAACTTTTTCCAAAAAATGAAGTCAGCAAATATGCTATTATTGAATGCCACCAGGTACCACTTCCTAAAATATTTTGCATTCTACTATTCTTTATTTGAGTAGATAAGAAAGGTACTGTGTCCTTTTAATTTATGAGAATTTCAACCAATAATTAGGGCAATGGCCAAAAAAGGAAAGTAAGAACTTATCCAATCTTTACTTCAACCCACCAGGTGACATAGATATATGGAAATTACTTAATATCCTCATTAAACGTGATAGAGAAAAGAAGATCAAAAAGTTTACTAGCAAGGTTATGATCTCATATGAACCTGAGATTATATTAATCTATAGGGGACAAAGGCATTAGTAGGAATCACACCTAATAAGTCTTTATAAGTTAAAAGAAAAATTAGATTCATATGATGACTGGTTCTAATTATATTAATATGACACTCAACTTTGAGAGACTGTTAACTCCTATAAAATGGGAAACTGTTATTAATCACATAACTTAAACTTTGTATGCATCAACTATAAAATAATTTTAAATAGATCACTCAATATGCTTCAGTTTGAGAGGTTATGAAAAAGTATTCTATAATTTGACCAGAAAGCGTTATATTATGAGATTCTTTAAATATATAATCATAGACTTGCTCAAACATGTTTCATTTTGGGGTGGGGGGAATTCATAATCATCTAAAGCAATTTAAAGCATTTTTGATTGATTACAATTTGAGATAGGATTTTTTTCATTTCTAAAACACTTAGTTTCTCAGATCAGCAAATCCTGTTTTAGACTAAAATTTAGTGCCATTTCTGGAATGAGAGGAGAAACAACTATTTAACTAACTTATACCTCTTTATGGGTAGGCAGCACCAACAAATCCTTTAACTCAGCAGTTACAAGAAATCCCTATGAACTTTTCAAAGTTGAATAACTTTAGCATTTCCACTTTCTTCTTCAAATAGCCAGCAGCCAACATTCAGAATGAACTGCTAAATTCCTATATAACGAGATAAAGGTTGTTTTCTAATATCAATTGCTTTTATCTCGATTTCATGTCACTCAGAAATGTTCACAGTTGAAAACAGCTTTTAAAAACACACTTATAGCAATGGCCTATCTTTTCAGAGTATTTGTGGCTGAATTAGGAACAATCTGAAAATAAAGCCCAACAACTGAAATAAGTCCTTTGACTTGATAGTTTCAAGAGACCAAAATCTCCTACTATAATATTGCAAGAGTAGAAGTATAGGTTTTCCCCTAGCTATTGTTCCCTTTAGAATCACTAAATGCCTTCTTGCTTTGTAATGATTTTATAACAATATAATACCAAACCATAGTAAACAGTTTTTTAATAGCTACTCCAAAAACCTTGTAAACTCTCTACAGCTCTGTTTGCAAAGGCATTGCAGAAGCTAATCACCTTGCAACTATTCTACAATGTGACACATATTTACTGCATATGCCCTACAGAATGAAGTCGAAGATGTAAACTTCAAATCAGGGTCAGATCACAAAATCAAACAGAAGGACATATCACAGATAGACGAGGACAAGTAACAGACATTAGAGCAGTACCGCAAGCAGGCGGCCCATAATCAACTTGGTTTATTTCTATAAAGATGAGAAGGTCTTGTTTAATGGAAAAAGTACCCAGACATACTTTGAGAATGTATGTGGATACTGACCTGGACTTGTGACAGGACTAGAGGTAGTAGGTTCAATAATTTCTACAAAAAGGGAAAAGGAAAGAAAAGAAAAACATTTTGTGTATTAATCATACATAAAAGACAAACACTCATGAGACAATCAACAGTCATGCAACATATACACAGATGGTCTTTGATATGAAGACTTCCCTGACCGTGGACACAATTGACCAAAATCCAATTTTGTGAAGTTTACACAACACCCCATCACTGACTTTGATATTAGGCCATCTTTCATTCTGAGGCAACATGTAGGAGTCATTTCCACATCCTAGACTACAGCTTCAAGCTCTGCTGTGCTAAGGTTAAAGACAAGCCCTTAGAGTTCCCAATCAGCAGTTTACAAGGTTTCCTTGTAGTAAACTATTAAAACCTACATGTAGAATGTCTTCCTCTTAGAGAAAGGATGTCAGTTCCTTAAAAAGTCTTTCAATCATGTTGTTTTTTAATATGTTCTACAAATAAAAATCATGGATAAAGCTCAAATTGCCTCAAAATAACTTTTCAAAGACAAAATCTCAAAATTTGCTAATGTACCTACCAAACTTGGCCACTTAGGGGACCAATTATGTCTGCTTTTATGTTTTTATGTAGAAGGTAAATATACACACACATGCATATACCACTATACATCTCACACATATACACACAAACATGTACATGTTTTAAATTACCTGGAATATATTTGTGTGCCTACAAGGCACTGTTGGCTATGTCTCAGGCAAATCAAAGGATATCTGTGTCAGTGGAATATCAATATAATTTTCCAGCAAGTATCTAACAAATAAATTCTATGGTGTTTTAAACAATGTATATAGTTGTATTTAAGATTTCTATTTTTAAACTTATCTTTTTAAAAGAACTGTTTCTTTTGAAATGTTAAATGATGGTGATATTGAAAGTAGCAGTGATACAAAGACTAAACACCATCACTGGCAATCCTGAAGGATATTAACAATTTCTCTTAAGGAATAAAGTAAATACCAGAAAAACATTGCATTTTTGAGAAACTCTAATGTAGTAGCCTGAAATCCTTAATTCAGCTCTCATTTCACATAGATAATCTACTTTTTAACTTAGTTGATAATGTAATTCTGTAATAGTAAGAAAACCAGATTAGATTCTTAAAACTCCACACAGCAAGTGTGGCAGTGGGAGGTAAAAGCAAAGATTTTTATGTAAAATCTTGCCTCTGGCACTCTCCTCTGTTCAACTATGTTCCCATAACATACAAGAGATGTTGCAAAGCAAAAAACATACAAACAAACAAAACGACAACCCTTCCTTCTTTAAAAAAAGAATTTCCAGTCCCTTTGGAACTCTTGGTTTTTCTCTGAAAAGGCAGTGGCAATGACCAATTCCAGTTAATAGTGAACTCACATTCCTTCCTTTTTTAGTCGAACTATTGGTTTGAGTAATAAAACCCTAGTTTAGCAGTAGTTATAAAATGAGCTGTCCAAAAGACATCTTTTGTGGGTATGTGGGAGACTAAGTTTACATGTGTCCCATTCTGCAGGGCTGATTCTTTGGACCCTTTTCTGACTGTTCTGGGCCATGGATCATGCAAGATAGCCTAGCTGACAGCTGACAGGATCATAGCCTAAGTCACAACAGATCTGGCATGAAATAATATACTTTTGAAGAAAGGTATTCTCAAATGGAAAATAATTAATTGGATAACAAGCTGCAATTAAAAATTCAAAAGTCCAGTCATCTATCAGACATTGTGATTTGTTGTTATTGAGAAGTAGAACCTTACTAAGGCAAGTCTGTATTAGATTACTTAACGATATGAGAATTGTTCCATTTTCCATTTGCAAGGATAGCAATTATTACATTCACAAATAATATTTAAATTCCTTGTATGTGTTAAGCAATATTCTACGAGCTGAAATCATAGGTGCTAATAAAACAGTTAGAAATGCCAGGCCTCATGGAGCTTACTGACTATAAAATGTCAGGTTTCAAAACATTAGAACATTCTTATCCCCACATTTCATTATTTATAAAAATTTAAAAAATTTTAAACAAAAAAATTATATCAGAGAAATGATGTTCTAATGAACACTGTTCTTTTGGTGGGCTAGCAATAGTCTCTTAAAATTTTTTTGTGACTATTACACTTTTATTTTTAAAAATGAACTTCAAAATAATTAAAATTTATGTTAAATTAGTTTAATGCTATATAATACATCTTAATTTATACTTAAGAGTATGTACTCAAATGAAAACATTTTGTAATTCAAAAAAATGAAAGCAAAATGGCTTGAAAGGTTGAAGCTTAATCAGAATATTTATTCATGGGAAAACTAAATTTAATGGGACAGTGAACAGGCTTTTCTATGTTCAGTAACTTGGACGTGTGATCTTCAATTTCCTCGACTGTTTGGCTCCCATTGTTTTCAATTTCTAATGCTGATTTGAGAGTGCATTGAAAAAGACGGGTGGCATACAACTACAACTTCATCTCAATAAAAGGATGGTAGAAACAAATAGCTATCCCAATGAACGAAGCTCTTCTTTGTGCTTGCTTATGTAGAGCTAAATTGCTTATGTAAAGCCACATTGTCTCATAGAAAGGCTTTTAAAAGAATACAGGAATTTACTTCATAAAAAATTATGTTGCATGCAGGATCCACTCTATAATTCCAGCTTCACAGTCAAACCAAGATTTTTTCCCCACATAGGCCAAGATAAAGTAGAATTCCTGGTGAGGTAATTTTATGTAACACAAGAACTGAGAATAGAGATGTTGGTTGAATTGGAGATTCAGGGTTGCACACAGGGCTAGATGAGGATGAAGCAGAAGAGAAACCAAAGTGAGATCAAAACAAAGAGATTGGGAAAAGCTGGTGCTACAGGCATTAGATGATGAGTCAGCTAGGTTGCTTGATGTGAGATAGTTCAGTGAGTTAGAAAGGACTCAGATAAAACAGGGATGAGATCTTAAACCTAACCAATTGTTTCACTGCATGGTAGAAAGGAAGTTAATGAATCTTTCCAACCCCCAGTGTTATCATTTATCTAATCTGGATAACAGTTCCTATTTTGTAGGGTTTGGAAGGATTAAAGATACTGTACTTTATATAAACAACCAAGTGACAGTGAGTAGCAGTAGTCGTTTGTTATTACTGCTTATAGAAGTGAATGGAAAAATTTGCATATGAAACAATGAAGAAGAAATTAAGTAGAGTATTAGACTCAAGGGAAAATTTAACCTTACCAAGTAGAAGCAAAGAAGAATGGCATGAGTAAGGAAACTATATAAATAACAAAATTCTACCTACGATGTAGACATTGATTTTTTCCAACTATTACATGGTGAATATATTGTGTTTTAGGGTAATTATTTGCGCCATGGTTTGCATATGGCATGTTTTGCTTCACCAAGTTCCATGCTGAAATTTGATGTACAGTGATGGAGGTGGAGCATGGTGGGAAGTGTTTGGGTTATGGAAGTGGATCCCTCATGAATGGCTTGACGTAATTATCTCAGGAGTGAGTGAGTTTTCGCTATTCCTACAAGAAGTGGTTGTTGAAAAGAGCCTGGAAGCTTATGCCTGCTCCCTTTTGCCACGTGATCCCTTCACACACTGGGTCCCTTTCGCCTTCTGCCATGAGTGGAAGCAACTTGAGACCCTCATAAATGCAGATGCTGGTACCATTCTTCTTGCACAGCATGCAGAACCATGAGCCAAATAAACCTCTTTTCTTTGTAAATTATCTAGCCACAGGTAGTCCTTTACAGCAACATAAGTGGACTAGGACAATTTGGGAGTCATATTTGTTGCTAGAAGATAACTATAGAATCCAGAGTATTTTTAACAGTTCTGATTCATGTAAAAGTTTAGAGTATAAATTTATAGATCAAAATCTTAAAATTTTTGTGAAGGACAAATGCACTCCTAAAATGGGAATTTTGTGCCAAATTACAGGCAAGTATTTTTAACATATACAACAAATATTTAAAATTAAACTTTCTCCCTTTATATCCCTAAACAGATCAGAATGATCCCACTGGCTTAATATAGTCAAGCTCTTTTGTAAAAGAAAATAATGATATTTTATTACTTAGAAAATACAGTGCAGGTAATAGTTGAAACTAACTTGAGCCAATAAATCTGCTATAGATTTCCTTACACTATTCAGAGTTCATTGATTCAGTATTTCAGAAACTACTTATTGAACATGAACAGCTGTTGTAACAAGTCATTATTATAACTACATTAATTACAATTCTGGGAATTACCAAACTCCTACCATGTAGCAAACACAGTCCTAAATGTTTTACATATGTTTTACATAACTAAATGTTTTACATAACTCATTTACTCCCCTCAGCAACTCTATGAGGTAGATACTAGCATTAATTCCCCTTTTACAAATAAGATAATGGAGCACAGAGAGGTTAAATATCTTGTCCATAGTCACACATGTAATGAGGAGTAGAGATGAGAGAAATACTATGCTAGGATGTCTCAGCATCCCATTCTCTACCTTCCAGAAGAGATATCTTATTGATATTCATTATATCTATAATTACTTAAATGGAGACATTCCTATGCAAGGGATCATATAAGACTTCAATACTAGTAGCTTCCTCAATAATAGGGTCTTTTTATTAAAGGTAGCTAATAAGTGAATAGTTTTTGTCACCAAAACTGGAGGAGAGGCAAATTCAATGTTAATTCCTGGAGATTTCTATCATAATGGACTTTGCAGGAGAAAAGAGTTTACACACAATTTTCCAATCTTGTTCTCACATTTTAAACCAACACCGAATATAGCTATCTGCTTCCGTATAAGCCCTGATGCCATAGAGGGACAACTCGTCTGACAGTTCAGAGGATGTTAGCGTAACAGAATTACACGATTAAATAAGCATCATGAACTTGTAAACCTCTATTCTGTTAAAACTGTAGTTTAACCATAAATTACTTATCTTTCAAGAACTTTGTTGTTTTTATATTGATTGGTTTTTGAGTTCCTGTTTTGTCGTTGGAGTCACTAACTTGTAAGCAGTGAAATATTCTTCATGAGGTGCCAAGTAGGCTTTTCTGATGAGCAACAGCAAAGGTCCTCAGTGAGATTTTCTTATGGGTCTCATTATGTGGAGAGTCAGAGTGGGCATGCCAAGGCTAATGGTGGAATATATCACTGTGGGCTACTGCATTACTGTGGGGAATGGCCTTAGCAAAGGGATAGTTTTAATTGTACATAAAACAGAGGTGAAGAGAAGTTCACCAAGACAGACATTTTCAATAGTTATGTGGGAAAATAAGGTATCATGAAAAATAAGATTTTACTTCTTTAGTAAATGTAATTTTGGCCAGATAGAAGGAAATTCTATTAAAACAAGATATTGAGGAAACAATGTGTTACAAGAAGGAAACATTTGTAATGGCCCTCTCTATAGACCACATTAATTATTGTTTTATAACTCTGCACACACAATATATTATTAAAATTGTTCAGTATCAAACCATTTCATTTCTATGTATTTTGGAAGGTTACATTTGGTTTCTAGGTTGTTATTTTATCTTTGTGTCATTATACAGTAGAGGTGTGTGTGAGTTATCTTTTAGACTGTTGAGAGATAACATGATTATGTTATTGAGACACAGCAGAAATTAATCCTTTTGGTTGCCATGGTTTCATCTGAAAGCTCTGACTCCCAATCATTGTGGAATGGAAGCAATGTCATTTTCACAGTAGAATGAGAGTGGGTTGCCCTGGAATGACCAAGGTTAGTGCTGATGAAGCCTCAGAAGACAAACTGTGAGCTAAGTTAGACACAGAAGGCAAAGAAGATGACCCTTACTTTTCACCTTTATGAGAAGGCCCATAAAGTAAACGTCAAGTCTCTTAGAGCACTGGAATAGCAGAGACTTTGTGCATGGAGTACAATTTAGAAATCACACTTTCGCCCTAAGCAGAAGAAATGCATGATCTGTGAGCATTCATGTATTTATAGCTAACATCAGAGGCCACAAGTTATGACTGTCTAATACAGACAGCACTGTCCTGGCAGTCAGAAGACTCAGATTCTATCCCATCTGTTGATCTTAGGTGTGTGACTCTAAGCGAAGCTCTGGCTTTCACTTTTCTTATATATTACTAATAGCTTATAATAGTTGGTTCAAATGCTTCACTAGGTTACTTTTGTTTCCATCACATGGTTATTGTTAAAGGATGGTTTAGCACAGTGGTTAATAATAGAGTTTCTGGAGGAAACTTACTTAGCATCACATCCTGGCTCCAATACTTAGAAGCCACTCATTTTCTCTAAGTTTGTACATTTATTCAATGGAGATAATGATGATATCTACCACTCAACATTGTAGTGAGGTTGAATGAGACAATGCGTACAAATCACTTAGCACAGTGACTGCCTAGCAAATAAGCATCACTCTATAAATGTTAGCTTATGTTCCGTTTGAAATTACTTTAAAATCATCACAGCATTATGAATATTTCATCTTATAAGTGACTATCATATAATTCAGCTTTAAAAGTAATTTTTTTCCTCCAGAAAACCATTTCTATTAATCTATTAAATGGATTGCAAAATAATATTTCTGAATGTTTGCAAAGGAAACCTACAAAGGAAAACATTAGCTGTACTCGGCAATCAAAATTTCACTATGACTTAACAAATGCGCAAGATAGACTGCATTTATTTTGCAGAAGAAGTTTTTGTCCCTACATGAAGCTATTGTTTGGAGGTGCTTGAGTAGGTGTGTGCACATGATGGAGTAAAGGAAGATTCACAGAGGGCTAAGGATTACAGTGTTCCTATAAGTATCTCTATATGCATATACCACCAGTATTCTTTCGAAGAAAAAGTCCAATGTCAAAACTAAGAAAAGATGCATGTTTATTATCATCCTGGTAAGTATCCCAAGACAGTATAAATATTGCCATACTTAATAGGTCAAAACTACTTTGAATGTAAAAACATCCTCTCAGTTAATCAAAAGCCAATTCTGTTTTGAGTTAGAAAAACATCACCTGTAGTAAAAAAGAAGTACTAATGACAACTGGTGCATTTCTATGCTTAATAAAATTAATAAAATAACTTTATACTTATATTCAAAGTTACTCCAATATATTTTCCTACCAGATGAGATTTGAAAGAACAATTTGGAAGTATTTTGGTCCAAACTATGAATTACAGCCAACCGAAATGTTTATCCCAGACTTATAGGAATGTTTCTATTTACTTCAGTAAATAGAGCATTAAGTCAAAAGCGCATTGAAGAACTTTGGGTTTTAGTGAATATTTCATACAGCGCTCTGAGGCTAAAGACTGACTTTCATCATTGTATAGATACTAATCTCTGGAAAAGATCTGATGAGAGTGTGGTATTATTTTCTTCCATTATCACAGAAGAATAAATGTCTTAGTTTTCAGCAAACTCACTTGGTTTTCTCTCTAATACAAATTAGAATGTAAATAAAAATAAAGGGAATGTGGTCGAGGATACAAGATTCCAAAAGAAACTGATAGGTTTATAAAAGTCCATTGTATTGATGCCATGCAAAGAAAGACAGGGCCTAGACACCTGGTAATTAAGAGTTGGACTGTTTATTTCCTTATATCTAGAAAACCCTCATTACTCACAGGAACTGAATTGCAACCTGTTAGCTCTTTACAATTCTTCCTCATGTATGATTATAGAGAGGAATGGCTTTTAGTTATTGCTTCTGATTTTTTTTTTTTTTTGGCTGGAGTTTTGACAGATTTCCAAGGGGTTGGCAAAAGACCCGATGCTTTGAAATACCCATTCCACAGATTCAACACATTACTCATCAATTTGACATGCTGAATCTAAAAGGGGATTTGGCAAATTCATATAGACACTCTTATGAAGACTTAGTCATGTGAGGTATGTCGTTAATGCTTGGAATCTGTATCAGGTTGTTACTGTATTGTTATAAAGAGATACCTGAGACTGGGTAATTTTTAAAGAAAAGAGGTTTAATTGGCTTATGGTTCTGCAGGCTATACAGGAAACATGGCACTGGCATCTGCTTGGATTCTAGGGAGGCCTCAAGGATCTTTTATTTAGGGTGGAAGCCAAAACGGGAGCAGACACATCACATGGTGAGAACGGGAGCAAAGGAGAGAGAGTGAAGGTCGGGGAGCCACACACTTTTAGAAGACAAGATCTCATGAGAACTCACTCACTATTGCAAAGACAGCACCAAGCCATGAGGGATCCGCCCCCATGACCCAAACACCTCCCACCCAGCCTGAACTCCAGCATTGGGAATTACAATTCAACATGAGATTTAAGCGGGGACATATATATGTGTGTGTGTGTGTGTGTGTGTGTGTGTATACATATATAAAATAACCAAGATGAGAGATCTAGCACAGTGACTGGCATATACAGAGACATACCAATTTTTGTATCTCTCATTTCTGATCTGGGTCCACAATTACCGACATAATAGAAGAAAGCCCTTAATTTCTAGCCATCCTTAGGCCTCATTTGAGCAGTACATTTTAGACGACTGACAAATAAAGAAGTTGAAAATGAGTAATAAAAAGGCAGCTTGAGGGTGGAAGACAGATATCGCTGGAGTATTGGCTTTACATTTTGGGGATATATAAATAGTAAGTTGAGCTGCTGAGCAGCATGAAATGGTCTACAATGGCAAACTCTCTGACAGCGAAGGATGCTATAGGACATGCGTTATAGGCACTAAAGGAAGTTTCACCTCATGCAGTTTCTGTAAGTCAGGTGAGTAAGGATAGATTCCACATGGAACAGCAGGAACAGAACGGACTGTCAGAATATGTGCTACTACAGTTGTCTCAGCGCTGTACTTGAAGCAATGTAGCAACAATACAGCTTTCTGGGAAACCAACGCCAGCAGAAAAGCAGGCCTGCCAAAGGTCAGCTGTACTATTGTCTCAGCTAAGAAAAAATACCAAAGGCCAGGAGCAAAGCCATGAAGGGTGACCACGGAGGCTTTCCTACAGAAGAGCTGCTTGATCATTGCCACATTGACAAATCAGATTATTCTGGACTTATTTATTCCTTTTTATATACACCTTTTCAGTGTATTCCATTTTCCTGACACTATTCTAAGTGCTGTTGATACAGGAGTGAATAAGAAATTCTCTGTAAAATGTACTGTAAGGGAGACCTTAAATAAAAACAACAAAACAATTACATAATTGACACTATTGGTGGGAAATATGGTAGGAACTATGAAAAATAAGTCCTGGTGGTAGGAACTGTGAAAAATAAGTCCAAGGTACTTCTATGATAACAGTATGGTAGGAACTATGAAAAATAAGTGCAATGTGCTTCAGAAGCATGAAGCAGGGGAACCTCTCATGGTCAAGGTGTTGGAAAAAGCCTCTCTGAGAACTGCCGTAGTAAACCTTAGTTTCCATATTCAAATCATATGCTCTGTCCAGGCTGGTGACAGACAACACCAGAAGGGGAAGTCGATGGATTCTTTGCTGGTACGAGCTTGTTGACAAGTTTAGCAACGGCACAGTCTGTACTAGGCCACGCTGTTAAGAATATGAGATGTTGACAGGGCATAAACAGCGAGGTACTAAGGTAAATGATTCAAGCTAGAGGCAGAGGATGTTACAGCCCGGTGACATTTTAGAAGGTATTCTGATTCCATCACTTCCTCTTATAGAGAAGGAAAACGAAGCCCCAGCAGATACAGTGATATGCCCAAATCATACAGCCAGTATTCTGCAGGGATGGAATTAGAAGTCTGACCTTTTCACTCCCAGTCGAGTGACAATGAAGAAGAAAATCTTTGCAATGTTTCACCACAATAACATTACTCTAACTATGACAAATCAGAAAGAGCCACGTGGTTTTAGCAATATGCCAGGGCAGGTGGTATCATAATGTCACTCCTATGATAACATTTGCTCCTCATAACTCCATGATGCAATGAGAGCAAGTGAATAAAGATCAAGAGCTCCACAAGCAATTTTTCCTGAGCCAACCAATTCTGGAGCACATTTAACTTTGGAAAATTTGCCACTCTCTCTCAGACTGACCTGAACAAGTACAATTGTGTGTACGTATATATAGCAGAACATAAGGTGAATACATACATACACATACATATGTGTGTGTATGTGATATATAAGTATGTACATATGACATGAAAAGCCACTTTTGCTTATGTAGTTCCCGTCTTTCTCAGTAGACTGTAAGCTTCAAAAAGTCAGGAACTGTTTTACTATTTTATTCTCAATAACTGAAACAGTCTTGGCAAATGGTAGGTACTCAGTAAATATTTACTAGATAAATGAAAAAACACATGTACAATTGCAAATATGTATGTTTTGGTGTGGACATTTGTACATACTTACATATGTGCTTATGACAATCCCCCAAAATCTGCTGGAACAGGAGGATTCATGGAGAGTAGTGACTCACACGTCCCAGTGAAACATTTTTATAGTTGAAATCAGATCTCAAGATGGTAAGAGTTCTATTACGAAGTGCCAATGAAAGTCTCAGCTTGATCTACATATAAAATCTTTCTTAAAAAGTTAAAGCAATTTCTATTATGCAAATTGAAATAGTAGAGTCTGACCAAGATATGTGCCTGACCATAATTTTAAATGTTTTATTCTCCCGCTATTTAGTTACAAAACGATTCCTTATCAACAGAAAGAAAGATAATGTGGGAGGGCATAATGAGTTGGACATAAGTGTGTCCTAATTGCACAATTCACTGTACATACATAAAAGAAATATGTGATTTCAGTAAAGTTTGATTTTAGAGAACAAACTGGTATCACAATCAACACATCTAGGTTTTTCTTGGTCTAGATCTTCCAGTAGATATTAATATAAAGACCTTTAATAGTCCCCTTAAATTTATCCGTTTGAGAAAAATCTCAGTTATGACCACTTGTACCAAATTACATCTTTCAGTGAAGACAGTGATTCTTATGCACACAACATTAAACTCTTGGGAAATGAATCCAGGAAAAAGCACTAAGTGGTTAAGTTGGATAGAATGTTTAGCCTTTAAAATCATACGAGGTTTTAGGCCTTATAAGAAGTAAAAATAGTTTTTTTTTTTTTTAAACATTATTTGTTTGCTTGACTTCCCTGGTCCCCTGCAGTTGTGTATGAGGAAGATGCATTCATTGAGGCAACTGCCAGAAACCAACCTTATCTAGATATTGCCTTGCAAAATGCAGTTACTTTTGAGATTTTCTCTAACCTGTAGGCTTTCCGTTCCATCCAGCTCACTAAATATTTCAACTATTTGCTGAAATAGTATATGTTTTAAGTAATATCTGTTCATTGTTTATTTATCTAAATCATTTAAGTAGTATATTTTTTTGTTAAATTAATATTAGTTTTGCATCAAAAGTGTCTAGGGGCAAGGGTGATAGGAGAAAAAACATATTTTTGATGAAGCTGGAAACCTTGGGTTTGGGAACAGGTACTGTCATTTACTAGTTTGGTAATTTTGGTCTAGTCACAAATGCTTTGAGTTTCACTTTTTCACTCAAAACTTAGATTGTGAGAAAATCTAAGTAATATCTGCCTATTTTATCTCACAGTGGTGACATTGAGTACATTAAATACTTTCTCTGGGCTACAGTTTACTAACCTATAAAAGAGGGAAAACAATAACTTGACTCATGAGGTGATTGTGAAAATGAAGTAATTTTTGTAAAGATTTTAGTAATTTTAGTAAAGATCTTAGTGGCTGGCACATAAAAGACATTATAATGTTAGTAGTTATTATTAATGTAACTTCAACAGATTATATACACATTATGTATTAGACAGTATAATTATTATCTCCTGTCTGACAGCCCAGTGTAGGAGATTGTTGGGGGGATGGGGGAGAGGCAGTCTCAGTAGCTATGGATGAAATGGTATCATTGAGAATCGTTTATAATTCCACTGAGGTTCAATTTACTTTGTAAGAATACAGCAGGTCCAGTGGAAAGAATGGAAACTTGGAAATCTACCCCAGTTCTGGTTCTGTGGATTGTTAATTATGCAGCCTTGAGCAACTTAATCTAAACTCTTTCCGGGCTCTTTCCTCCACTAAAACTGAGATGTGAATTCAGGTTTCCTGGCTGCCTGGGCAGGTCTCTTGCTTTAGCAGCTGATTGGCTGCTGGCTCAATGAAGCATCTCATTCATTATTTCATGCCAGAAAGACTATTAATTATTATATGCTGAGTGCTGTGTTAGATGACTGAGAGATAACAGCCTGCTCCCAACCAAAAAAAAAAAAAAAAAACCAAAAACAACCAGAAAACAGAAACAAAAACAAAAACCCCAAAGAACTGCCCCAATGAAGCCCTTCATCTAGTAGTTGGGGAGTGGTGTGGGATACAAGGTCCCATGCTGGACTTAGAGAACAAGTAAGTCCCAAATTTGAAATTCAGGATCTGTTTGTCTGCCTTTGACCAGCCCCACAGAAGGAACAAGGGGTGCTTTACGCTTCTTAAAGGCAACCTACATACCCCTCCTTTTTTAGGGGTTTTTCTGGCTTTCATAGCAACTTCCAAATAGGTTTTGTGGGCAAGAAATGCTCTCCTGAACTTCCCTAGCTTCATGGTGATTAAACTCCTTTGGAAGCCAATGCCTTTTGCTGATTTCAGTGTGTCAATATCCTTTTAAAAATCCAGTCTTGTAGGCTGCCCACCGTCTTCTATATCTTCTGTCTTTCTATCTCTGTCTATTGTGCTGTTTGACTCTGTCTCTCTCTGTTACCTTCTTGAGCCATATTCTTAACTCTTCCTTTTTTTAGCTGTGTGAGGACTGTGATGTTTTTCAGAATATGATTCATTGTTTGCCAAATCTCTCAATATTTCTATTTTCTATGGATTTGATAAGCGACAAGGAGCAGGGCAATACTGGCAGCTGCCTCTATAGAAAGAACTCATGCCCGAGGGGAAAACTCAGGCTGTGTGTAGAGAAGTAGCCCATTGAAGCAGAACTCTAGCATTGGTGAGAATGGAATTTCTCTTTAACTCCTCCTATGCACATATTTCTATATTTTGGATCCTAATTAGCTGTGTAATTTTGGCATCATTTGCTACTTTCCTCTCTGTAAAATTAGCAATCTAAATATATGATATCCATGATGTAATCCAACTTGGAAATATTATGGCTCAACCATTTCTATGGTTCAAATGGTTATATCTGTGGAAAGAAATCTGTATCTGATAAGCAGACAAGAGGTAAACTACCAGAAGGAAAAGTAATATATAGGGGTTTTTTTGTTTGTTTTAATTGACACAATAGCTCTTTGGTCACAAGTGTTTCTAATCACAAAGTTATATAACCAGCCTTTGGTTATAGTTAGTGTAAAGGTGATTTGATCAAACCTTTTCTTAAATCTACATACATAAGGAATATCCATGGCAAAAACAATTTCCAGAAACACTCATTTATTCAACAGAGGGTAAAATGAAAATTTGACAGTGAAGAATAAAGCAACTTGATGTACCTATTAATTAATGCATTTATCTATTCAAAAGCTGATTGAATACACATGATATGCCAAGTATTATACAGTGTGCTAGGGTACAAAGATAAATAAGATAACATATGCTTTCTATTGGGCACACAACAAACTATTTGAAATAAAGATAAAAATATGATAACAAAAAACCTTAAAATTTTACCAAAAAATAAAGAAGGCATATAGGTATTTAAAAGTGGTGATGATAGTAGTATGTGTGCACTGAGTACACGCCAGATAAAATTTTAGGTGATTTAAACACATTAACCCTTTTAATCTTCACAACAACCCAGAGAAGTTGGCAGTACTATTATTATCATCATTACTAAAGAAACGTAAACTAGGCATATGGAAATTGACTACCTGTACAAAGCGACATAGATAGTAAGTGCCATAGTCAGAGTTCAAATAAAGAGGGTCTGGACTCTGCAGCCTGGGTACTCAACACTTAAGCAGTGATTCTTATAAGGTATTGGGTAAGGGGTGGCCCTCAGTGTAACTGAGTAGAAAAGAAAGCCGGAAGGACTTGAGGACTTGAGGAACAAGAACAATGTAGGTTAAGACCTGCATTATCTACTGTCAGTCTCCTATATAAAGAGGTACCCTATTGGTTGCCACCTCTATATATCTTTTCTAGCTCCCAATCAGGCCACAAATTGAGATGGACCATAATGATGTAAAAGTAGAGAGAGGCTGGCAAGTTAGTTTGAGACTCTAATCACTGTTCAAGTTGCTTTTGCTTTTATTTTTTAAAAAAAATTTCTGGCACTTATGATCTTATTGAATTGGGGGACAATTGTGCCCACCAAATTCCTTTTCTTCCAGAAAGTTTTGATGTTTTTGTTTCCATATAGTTAAAGTAGGAAGAGGAAAACCCTTTATGAATAGCTCCCTATTAACCTCTTCTAAGTTTCTTTCGTTGATTTTACTGCCAATTCCAAGCAATAGTCCCTTCTCTTGTTGTCTGGTACTCCCCATCTAACCTGTTCATTTGTCAAGAGACAGAGACAATAGACTGGGAAGTATTTGTTAGGAGATAATTAATTGGAAACGAGAGCATGTGTATTTTGCAATTTAGCAAAGTCACCGGAGTGGAACAGGGGTAGACTGTTTCTGCAACTCACAGTCTATTCTTGTGTCTTTCCTGTTGGACAGGAGGTCTTCTAAACCCTGGACTCACAACATTGCAGCTTTAATGTCATTTGAAGAAAATTAGAAATGAGAATAGCCCACCAAAGAAACAGAATAGAAAGAGAAAGATATTTTCAGATGTCAAAAGATTTATAAAATGAGAGATTAATAAATAGGATATTCTTTCATATCAGTGTGGCCCCAGATAGAAGTGAAGATTTCATGCAGATCTTGAAAACTGACCCAGCAGAGAAAAATAAGAAGGCAGGGGAGAGCACTGCTTTACCAGTTTTATGCGGCCATGACATCTGTGGTTGCCAGCTTTTGAGATGACTCCCAATGATCCTGGTTTCTTGGTATTCACATCATTGTACTGGGATTGGTGTGTCTGACCAGCAGCATGTGGCAGAGGTGCTGCTATATAGCTTTGCTCTGAATCAAAAGAGTCACTGCAATTTGTGTCTTGTGTGCTTCACCCACTGCCCACCACGTCTGATCAGTAGCCTGGAAGAAGGCTACTGTTGTGAGCAACTCTATCAAAAAGTCCACATAGTGGGAGACTGAGGTTTCCTACCAACAACCATCCTGAGTGATCTTGGAAACAAATTATCTGGACTCATGAAACCACAGCCTTAGCCATCATGTTGATTACAGTCTCATGAGAGACCTCGAACTAGAACCACCTTGGTAAGCCACACCTGGAATCCTGACCCACAGAAACTGAGATACCATGTTTGATGTTTTAAGCTGCACAATTTGGGGATACTTATTATGCATCAAAACGTAACTAATATAGCTCCATCACTTATTTTCTGGAGATGGGGCTGATTCTGTAGGCACAGTAAGCCTTTCTGTAGCTGGTAACTTCTCTGAACAGCAACATTTCTGCTGCTTTGGGCACAACACTTCTCTGTGATACCTTCACACTAAGTGAGGCACCCTCCATGCTGCCACCAAATGCAAATAATTATAATAATGGATCTCTCAGAGGTTCAGTCCCCAAGGCTAAATCTGTGCTCTACAAATTTGTCAACCTTCAGAAAAAAGGAAATGAGATCCTTTTAGGCATTGGGCTCCAATCTGGATTTGACTTCAGCTTCTTGTCGCTGTTTCAAAGACATCTTACATTCTTGGATATTCTTGACGTTTGAATCATGTGTCAAGATGTTGTTGATTCTAGTGATGGCAACGTTTCATCTCATATGCATAGCAGATTGTTAAAACATGCCGAGGCTGTGGTGCTCCTTTCCATTCTGCCGTTCCCAATTTTATTGTCACTTCAGAAATAAACTACAACATATAAAGGAGCACTGAGAAGGCGGCTTTAAGAGCCCTGGGGTAGAGCTAAAAGCAGCTCCCTTGATTTTATGTTTGAGCCATCTGGTGCTTACATCAGCTACCACTTGTTTTCAAATATATATTATTTGCGACTTTGTAGAGCTGAATAACATGAGCCCCTTTGGTACAGCAAATATTGTCAACGTACAGTGATTTAAATAAAAGAAAGAGCTAGTCATTTCATATGAGTCTGTGTGGATAGAGGTTGATAGTTTCCCTGTATTGAGAACAGGAGAGTTCTTATACTTAGAGAAGTGTCTACAACTTTATCCTTCTGGACACCAGAGCTATAAAATTAAACGTTTTCAGAGAAACCATCTATGTCTAAGCCAAAGGCTAGCATTTATTGAGTGCTTACTATATCCTAAACATTATGCTAAGCAATTCAAGTATTTTGTCTAATCTAGGCCTATATATTAGTCAGAATACATTAGACATTACTTCAGATCTTAAACAACCTTAAGATCTCAGGGAATTAACATAACAAATGTTTATTTATTGCCATGCTACATGCTATTTGTATATCCCTCTGAGACCAGATTAACCGTCTTATTAGTGTATTATCCGGAAAGAACAAAAGTTCTCTTTGTTCAGCTTGGTGGGGAAAGAGACAGAGTGTTATGCACTGATTCCTCCATGCTTTGGCACAGAAGTCCCACACTCAAAATTGCTCAAAATTTCATTGGTCAGAAAAAGTCACATGATCTTGTCTAAAATCTTCCCAAGAGCTTCTGGAAGGAAAGGAGAGCCAAAACTGGCCAAGCACTAGACTCTCTAAATATTTTTTAAAAACATATTTATTTCATAGATGAGGAAACTATGGCACAGCACAGTAAAGGGATCTTCCAAGGTCATTTACTTGAAAATTAGTGAAACTGGATGAATCTAAACCTGGGTCTGTTAAACCCCAAAGCCCTATGCTCTTAAGCACTGCATAGAGAATTCCAGTAGTGATTGAAGAGAGGCGGAGAGTCATATAATATCTACCTTGTCTGAATAACATTCTTTCATGGATTGTTTTAAATATTTATTTCATATCCCCTAGGTGAGTGGGAGGAGAGACCCTGTCAACAATTGACTGCCATTGAAAGCTCAAGCTTCTAGTATAGAGCCAGGCATATAGCAAGTGTTCAATAAACTTCAGTCGAAATCTATTGAATGCATGTCTAATCTGTGCCAGGACTTACATACCAGGATCTGGAGTGCATAATTGAATAATAAGGAATGTTTCCAATGATCTATACTTCCTTCCTCATTTATATGGTAAGATGGCAAAAGTAAGCTATATTATAAATCACCCATTCTTCATGAATTTAACAGCATTGTGGGCAATCATTTCTACCGTCCAAGTCCAAATGGTGGAGAAGACAGTCTTTGAGTTTTTTTAGCCTCACCATCCTTTGCCGCTCATGTGTTGTGAGGATCCTCCAAGTTCAGCACAGATTAGCTTCTCCATCTATGATAATTTCATTCTCATTCTTTTTTTTTTTTTTTTTTTTTTTTTTTTTTTTTGAGACGGAGTCTCGCTCTGTCGCCCAAGCTGGAGTGCAGTGGCCGGATCTCAGCTCACTGCAAGCTCCGCCTCCCGGGTTTACGCCATTCTCCTGCCTCAGCCTCCCGAGTAGCCGCCACCTCGCCCGGCTAGTTTTTTTGTATTTTTTAGTAGAGACGGAGTTTCATTCTCATTCTTATTGATATACCTTTCCAGCCACTCATAGATGTTTTCAGTTGTGTTGATCTATAAATGGCATAATCTTTTACAGTTGACACTATGTTGTGTCCTTAAGAGTGCCTTCCCTTATTAGTTCCCAGTGCTGCCACTTCCTGGAAGCAGCACTTCTTTAAAGGATCTTTCCTAACTCATACTTGCAAGGTTCAGAGTTGACTTCTTTGTTACTTACCCATTTTTTTTTTCCTGTCTACTGCTCCAGACTTGAATCCAGCCCTTCAGGCAGGGACACTAGGATCACAGGTATAGAACACCCACACTCTCATTCAGGCTGTAAACTTGTGTAGGCCCACAAATTCATACTTCCTTCCATATATGACCTTGTGGCCATGGTTAGCCCCTGCATTAGCTGCTGAGACCACAGCCTAGACTAGTGTCTAGGAGTTTCCTCCTAACATCCACATTCCGCTCCTTATCTAGATCACTTAGTAGGATAAATTGGACCACAATTTTCCTTGGTGTAGGAAAATCTACCTATAGGATAAAGGCAACAGTCAAATTGTAGGAAAGGATTTAAGGAATTTAGTTTCTTTCTACAACACTGAAACATGCCAAATTATGAGCAAGATAGAGTTGGGCAAGCTATGAGTTCAGCCCTATGTATTCTCTGTTTTAAGTGTATAATGCATCTCTTGAGAATAACTTAGAACACCTACATCATGGGCATTATGTTGTCTCCGAGACCAGCATTATAAAAAGAATTTAGTGTAATATAGTATGGTACTCTACATTTTATGCTCTTAAGAATAATTTCTATAGATATTGTTTATAAATACTTAAGTAACATTGCATATTCCATCGGGATTGCCAGTGGAATTTCTCCTACCTTAACACAAAAATGCAAGCATGATTATTTTACAATCATCTTCATTTCATCAAAAATGTGAACATTAAAAGTTTCTGGAAAATATCAGATTCCATTAAAGACAATTATGAAAGAAAAATCAAACATACTGTAGTTTTGGGGGACTTTCAATCATACTGTCTCTTACTTTTAAATAAATAATGAGACCGGAAATTGAGAAATAATGGCCTAATGGACTATTCACATGGTTAAATATTTCGAAGGCATATTCAGACAGCCATACATGTACGTATACACACAAATGTTTCTAGTATATGAATATGTACACAAAAAATAAAATCAGGTAAATTCAGTGTGATATATAAAACAAAGACTGCAAATCAGGATACCTGGAGTCTTTTCTTTTCTTGCATTTATTTATTTTTAAGATCTTAGGTAACTTATTTAACTTTGTTTAGCCAGCTATACAAAGAAAAATTTAAATCAGGGAAAATAACATATTTATTAGTGTTCCCTTTCCCACCCATGCTAGACATCACTAATCAATCACGGTGCTCTTTCCTGCTGGCCAGGATGTTAGTTTCAAAACCCTTTTCAGTATTAGGGCTGCGCAGAGACTCCAATTGATGTGATTTTATACCTGAATAAAGTCCATTGGCCATCTTGGGAAGATGATCTTAAACATTTCTTCTGTAACTTCATTTAAAAAATACACCTCCTCAAAAGGGTTTGGAGCCTAAAAATAATCCATTCATATTCATGTGCATAGTAGCAAAGCATGGGCCCAAAGTGTGAAAATTTCTATATCTTTAATTAAAAACAGTCTTTCTCCTTCTTCTTTTTAGAATACACTATATATTGACAAAGACTCTTTCCTTGATCTAACTAAAGTCAGGCTTCTCCTAAGCCCTATAGGCCTCGACTTTGGCATTTTTTCCTTTTTGCACCTGAAGCACCTAGTTGTAGCAGGAATCTTGCTCAGTTAGATTGGAGAGAATCTCTCACTCTTCATATCATCACTTGATATCTGATCAAATTCTTAATTGCTTATCTTCCCCAGGTGATATGTAATCACCTGGTCTGCCTTTAGCAAGAATATTATTAGGTCTGTTTAACCAGACACCTTCCTTAACTCTAATGTTTTCCCTTAGTAATTTTTCTTCCACTGATTCTTATCCTGTGGCCCTTCTATTTTTATATATATATATATGGACACTAGGATCACAGATATAAAACTATAGAACAACCAAACTCTCATTCAGGTTGTAAACCTGTGTAGGCCCACAAATTCATACTTCCTTCCATATACTACCTTGTGGCCACGGTCAGCCCCTGCACTAGCTCCCGAGACCACAGCCTAGACTGTAATATATTAGAAGAATATATTCTATATGTATATACAATATTCTATATGTATAGTCTCTGTATAGTCTCTCCCTACATAGAATTGTATATATAGTATTGTATATATGACATTATATATTCCACACTATATTCAGAATTGAGCTCACTTCCATAATGAAGTCTCTTTTCCTTCTTGCACTAGTTCCTGAATAAAATCTGTGTTTACTGCTTTAACTACTGCCCAACTCTGGTTTTTCTTTGACTCTGTAAGTAGGCAAAAGTGTAATTTGCCTTACAGCATATTCTCAGGAGAATTCAGCAATTGAAACTGCCCAATCCCTTGACAATGCAGAGAAATGGCATTGCCAGGAAAAGACATTTCTTTGCATTTGACCTAAATAAATAGGGACATATAGAGACCTTTCTATTCTTCAAATTTTTAGCACAGATTTTATTTATTTACATTCTATTTCCTTCCACAGAAAAATTGAGGCAGCTTGTAAACATGTAAAAAAAAAAAAAAAAAAAAGGCAATTTCCTGCTTCTTTCTTTTATCCTTCTATTATTAAAAATTCCACTGCGTATATACTTTCTAGAAATAAGATTATATTTGAACTGCATTTCTTACTATAACAAATGTTTATTAACAGCAAGTGCCAAAATATCTTAACTTTTGATTCATATCTAGCCTCTTTTTGAATGACCAGTCTTATCTCTAAGTTTTTCTGTCTTTAAATAATAAGGCTATTTCAAGCATTTTAGAATGAATAATTAACTGCCGAGCCTGAAATCTGTCTGGTATCAAAGTATTAATGCCTGAATTAATTTTCAACTTATAACTGTTTTCATTTACACCTACTTCCTTGGTAGTTATTTAAAGCAATTTTATCTTCCCCATCTGTGGCTTACATGTTAATGTATTTCATTTTAATGAACACTCTTTAAGCTGTAGAAGTAGGCCAGACACTATCAGAATGTGTCATGAGTGGAGAAATCTGACTCAAAGATGAAATTTTTAGATAAAAAGGTTTAAAAAGGCTGATACAATGGAGATATTTTCAATTCATAGCTGAGAAATGATTCATCTGAAATATATTGCTCTAACAGTATCCATCCTTTTCGAGGAATTAAACACAGATAATTTCACATCTGTTTGTGCATAATTTAAAAAAAATTTTACCTGAGACTGTGGTTGTTCACATGAGCCAACCTGGAAAAAAATTTGATAGGTGATGGCTTTTAAAGTAATTTGCTATTTGCCTAAACTCAAATTTGTCTGCATGTGTAGATATAGCACCAATATTTTTATGTTATTAGCACACTTCTAATAATTACACTCAAGTACAAAATCTTTTTCTTATTTAACATATTTCCTTTTGATGATAGAAAATATCTTCATCATAGAACATTTAAAAAATGAGAGTTAATAGTAAATTATGCTTACAGAAAAGAGTTTTTTAGTGCAATAACTAAGTCAGCATCCTAAATGAAGATCCATTGCTTTAATTAATACTTTTGAGAATTAAAAGAAATAAGTTTGTTGTTTTGCTTTCATCTTTATGCCTTTCAGACATATTAGATACTAGAGTAATTAAATAAAACTGGGTTTATTACTTTATAAATAAATTTACTTAACATTTTAGCCCCCAAGATTTCTATTATAGAACATTGATTGTTTTACTATTATTGGAAAACTGGGCGCCAAAGAAGTATAAATCAGACAGGTGTCAATCAAGTGCTAATCATAGATAATATTATTTGCTAATTGGACAATATTATATTGCAAATTGGAGACACTTTTTTTTAGAATGGAATATCAATATAAAAATCAAACAATGGTATTATTCTCTTAGCACTTTGGTTAGCAGGGGCTAATTAGTTATCTATCAGTAGGCTACCTGTTCAGCCTGGGTGTATTTTTCAGTTGCCAGGATAGAGAATTTCTGCATTAAGAAAGAATGAGACACTTAATTGTTCAAGGGGTGAAGAGTTTGCAACCAGAAAGTCTTCTATTATATTGGAATTTCTCACTCTCCTGCACCCTGTTGTTGCCCTCAAGCTCCAGGAAACACAAGATAGAATATTAAGTTTCTATTCCTGAATATGATTTCTTCACAGAACCTACTCTCCTCTTTTTTCCTGATAGAAAAAAATTGGACACTCTAGAATAAAAACTGGAGGTCTAATTTATTATTTCTCTTGATCAAAGAATACATTTTGAGCATGAAGATCTTCAATTTATTCTCTAGATTTCACCAATTAAGTTGCTGGAATACAGGGTGCCTTGCAGGTAGAGCCTGCTGGAAGATTAGAATGAGAACACTTAAAGGGGATGCTTTAGAGCACCAAAGTACCACAAATCCAAGAACCTTCAACTCAAGATCAGTAACCCAGTGAAAAACTCCAAGAAGTGATCCCCAAAATACTCAACGGTCTTGCTTTTTTCCATCCTTTCTGAGAGTGCTCATTAAAAGGAATCTATTTTCCTCCAGTAAATGGGTAGTTGGCATACCTGCCTTCCTGAGGAGCAGCCACTTGGAATTCAATTTGAGACAATGAGTTACTAGTCTTTTGAGTAATGGATTGAGAAACCCTAGTTGGCCATTGCTGCCGTGAATCCCCCTCACCCCAAATTAGAGATTGCCTGTATTTTACATCAAACCCTGGTTTAAACAGCTAGCCATTCTTAAAGCTCTGTAGGCAGATAAGTATTCCTTACATACCAACTCTGATGAATTGATAGTAGATGTTTGGAGGCAGTAATTGGGCTAAGTAGCAAAGAATTCCAAGTAGCAATGTGTGTTGGAAGAGAGGACTGGGAAGGGGCTGCCTGCGTGTCATGTTACCCTTCCTGCCCTAGAGGGTAATTTCCTTTCTGAATCTTGGTTCATGATCTTACTTGTTACCTAAAAATAGACATTTTTAGAACATTTACTACTTGCACAGGATATATAAAGATGACATGCATGTGTTCTCTGCCCATAAGGAGGAAGAAAATTAACTTACTACTCTAAAAAGTTGATTATTTGATAAGAGCACTGCTGAGTATGCACAGAGCATAGGATTGGGCAGTCTCTATCTTCAAAGTTTGACATTGTGTCAAATTATCTTTCTTTCATAAGTCACTTGAGAATATAAGGTCAGCAAAGATCCACTGAGAGATAATAAACATGCTCTAGTAAGATTGTATGTATTCCATCTTTGAGTGGTTGGAAATCACTTTTGATACCCCTTTGTTGTTTCCTGTAATCCAAGGAGTTGAGAATATCTTCAAATGTCCTTCACCCTCACTGAAGTCATTTTCCATTAACTGGTCCCCAACCTGTTAGTAACATATAGGTTTGAAGAAGACATACCTGAGGATATCCTCCAGATTTTTCTCAGGTTTCTGTTTGGTAATGTTATTACATATCAGCTAGTAAACTTAGTAAAAGGTATTTTCTATGATGTTATGTAATCTAAAAAAATACGAATATACTTGCCACTACTAGATCATAAAGGATGGTATGAACTTCTGAACTTGGCATACTTAGAGAATATTATTTAATATATCATGATATGTCATTTACTAGATCTATTCTCTTCAAATGAAAAGAAAATAGTTTGAAGATGTATTCTGAGCACTCAGATTCATCAAACTTTAATGCACAATGGTAATCTCTCTGTTTTGCAAGGAAATCTGGGGTTTCCCTGCTGGCTTTTAGCATTTGAAGCATATAATTCACATTTTTATGAAATATTTCTGCAAACTTTTCTGCCTTACATGTCTAAAACAATTGGTTCATTAGCTAGTTAAGGGACTGGCCAGAGAGAAAGTAGAAAAAGTTTGCTGAAAAGAGAGGTACACACAGCTCAGTTAAAGAGAAACAATTTCTTGAACGTCTGAAGAATTAAAACAATGTGACCATTAAGTCAAACTGAATGTTATGGTTTACTCAGCAATTTTAGAAGCATTTGCTATGATAATGTATTTATCCTGGTGCACACATTATCGTGGATATACACAACATTCTAAGAAAATCCATCAAAGTGCAACAATTTATTATTCATGTTGGCAACAATGTTTTCAAATGGGTTTTTACTAATTTTGTAATGACACACACACACAGAAGTCCATGGAGACACAAAAACTCACTCACACTGCCACACTCAGAGAAAATAAAACACAAAGAAAGAGAGAGGGAGATTTTATACTCCCAAAATAAACCGTGACTGGGAGGGGAGTGGATATATTCTTTTTGAAGGCAGCTATAAATGTTCAATTAACCTATTTCTCATGTCTTTTATTATGACCACATATGGTGACAAGTGGGTCTAACAAGAAGGGTCACAGAACAACAGATGTGTAAAACAGCAAAATGAAACACCTCAACAGATGTAAAATTTTTATTTTGCGTGAAGTGAATAGGAACGTGCAGATTGCATTTTGTGAAGTACGAAAATGCCCTTAAATTAGAAAGGCTAAGAGTTGGAATAGTTTTAGAAACATTCTATGGATTTATTTGAAGTATTCATGAAACGCCTTTCCCACTACAGCCACCAAAATACTGTGAAGTCTGATAGTCTGTAAAGATTTAGCCCTTTACTGTAGAGATAATTCATCTTGCACATTTCGTTTTGGAACACAAATGCCTTTGGTTGGTAGAGCACATGTGAGAAACAACCACAAAATAACTGAAGGGGATTGTAGGGAGATAGGAAGGCAACAGAGCCTTGAATCCTGAGTAAACTCCCATGTGAGGGCTTGGAACTGGTAATACTTAAGGAGTACGGTGAAGTCTGGTAAATTAGGCTTTCTTCCAGACAAATGTTAGCTTTGTAATAAAGGAAGTGTGGGAGAAGAAGGATGTCAACTTTAGAATGCTTTGAAAGTGACAATGAACATCATGCACTTGGAGAAAATAAATGTGAGGGAGAAAGCAAGTATTGAGAAAACATTTCTAATATCTCTAGTTGTTTAATCTCATTGAACTAAATTAATCTGCTCACTACTTTAATAAGACAAATTCCTTATCTCAAGAGTTTTTTAACTTTTTACTTTGCAGTAAATTTAGACTTAGGGAGAAACTGCAATGATGAAGCTAAGTCCCTGTATACCCTCCACTCAGCTTCCTTTAAGGTAAAAATCTTAAATAAACATGGGACAATTATCAAATATCAATTATGAATTATCAATGCAATTTTCAATACTAAGAAATTAACATTGGTGCAATGTCATTAACTAAACTGTGGATTTAATCAGATTTCCCAAATGTTTCCCATAATGTCTTTTTTCTATTCCAAGATCCAATCCAGGATACCGTATTGCATTTAGTTCTCATGTTTCTTGATCTCCTCTAGTCTGTGATGTTTCTTCGCTGTCTTTCATTATCTTGACACTTTGAAGAGTACTGGTTGGATTTTTGCAGACAGCCCCTCTATTTGGATTTCTCTGATGTTTTCTCATGATTCGACTGAATGTATGTATTTGAGAGAGGAATACCACAGAGCTGATGTGCCCTTCTCTTTCTATCATATTAGGGATATATTACATTAATGTATCTTACTTCTGGTGATGCTAACCTTAATAATTTGGTTAAGCTGTTTTTTTTTTGTCATATTTCTCCACTGTAAAGTGACTATTTTTCTTTTTCCATACTCTACTCAGTATCAGTAGCTACTCAGACCAGCTCCACACTCAAAGGGATAGGAATTAAGCTCCACCTTTATAAAAATATTATCAAAGAACCTGTGAACATATTAAAATTGCCATAGTAATTAATACATATTTATCAGGGAGATACATTGGGGATATACTGATATCCTATTTCTCTTTAAAATTTGGCCTAATTTATTTGGGATATCATTATATGTCAGTAAATATCACTTGCTGCAATTATTACAATGGTGTTCTGATGGTGTTTCTATATTCCCTCATTCCTATATTTATTAATTGGAATTCCTCTGGAGGACTATTCCTTCTATGTCATTCACATATGTATTCAATAGTTTATATCAGTATGGACTCATGGATATATATTTTATTCTTTCAGTTATAATACAACACTATCAATATTTATTTTGTAGCTTAAATTGTTCCGGTTTTGTAGCTTAAATTGTTCCAGTTTTGGCCATTTGGAGCTCTTTAGATTATGTCTGTGTCCTTTTGATACGCACCTCATCCTTTCTTTTTTTTTTTCTTGAGCACTTCTTTACATCCTAGCACCACCAGATGCTCTAGGCTCATCTTGAATTTTCCCTGCTCAGCCCCAGAATTAGCCATTTCTCCAAAGATTCCTGGTTTCTATTATTGAAGAATGGTAATAGAGACCAAGTTCTTGGTACTAGTTGCACTAGTCACTACTGAGGAGTCAGTACTTCTAAACTTCTCAGTAGATAGTGTTAGGGAAGGCATGTATGTATACCCGTGCATGTATACACATATATTTATGTTTATTTATGTATCTTTTGTGTGTGTGTGTGTATATATGTACACACACATATGTTTATGTGTGTAAATATGTGTACATATATATTCATATGTATGCATATATGTGTATATATCAACATGACTTCATATTGATATCTCCAACTCCAGTCAAACACCATATGGTTCATTCTAGCATTTTGGCTTTGCTTACTTTTAATTTCTTTCTTAGGCAGTTGGAAAGCTAATTTTTATTATCTATATTTTTCTTATTTTTCAATGCTAGTATACATGTAATATTAGTTTCAGAACTGTAAAACATAATCCAATGAGAAATGGATTTACCAACTATGATACAGTTATTTTTAATCTTTAGTCTTACATTATCAAATCAAAAGATAATTTCACAAAGTTACTTAGATCAGCTTCTTTCTTCCTCATTTGTTTCAGTATGGTTATGTGATTTATTTGTTACACAGATTCATTTCTCAGAGTCTGCATTCCATCTTGTGTTTCTTTAATATCCTGTTTACTTTTTTAAAGTTTTATAGAATAAAGTTCACTTTTTGTGATGCACATTTCCATGGGTTTTGACAAATGCACACAGTTGTATATCCACTACCACAGTACCATGCGAAATAGTTCTATCACCACAAAAGTTCCCAGAAAGGTCCTTTAAAAGAAAAAAAGTTTTAAATAACACTTTAAACTTTTAATCAAACTCCACTCCTAAAACATGTATGTGAAGTGCCTGCCAGGTTGGACTTTGGATTTGCTCTAGATGGAATATACTATTTACAGGCAATCTAATACTCAGCAGAACATCATCATCTGCACACACTTGTCCACACTAATATCTCTTAAATCACAATATAGTTTATATTACCATTCTGGTAAAAAAAAATCTTCAGGAATTCCAAATGCTCTGCCTATTTCTTATTCTTTAAAAGCTTCCAAGATCTTAGTTTGGACCTGCTTTTTCAACCTTATATTCTGCTATTCTCCCTTTGCCAAGTATGTTCTATCTCAGTGGTTCTCTAAGTGTTATTGAAAGACCAGCTACATCATCTTCACTTCAAGTCTAGTGTATATGATTGTCAACTACACAGATATTTTCCTAGTCACTAGTCCAGATCATCATCATCATCATCATAACCAGAATAATAACTATATTTGAAAGGCATCATTCATGAAGAACTTTTTTGTTCCTTTTATTTGCAACTGACAATGATCCTGAGAGATATTAAAGACACCTATTCTTATAGTTTCCACTTAAAGATGAGGAATTTCAACTTCAAAAATTATCTCAAAGTTAAAAAGCTAATAAGTAGCTAGGACTTAAACTCAGATTTTCTTCTTCAAATTTCTTACTCTTCCCAATGTCTACATTGAAATCCTTTGGTGCTATCAGGAGAAAAAACATTATGCATGGCCTTAATATAACCCAGGCCCTGTGTAATTCTCCATTATATATATTTTTTCCAATTTACTGTCATTAAGTCAATTTTCTAAGAAAAATACTATCTAATATCTAATCTAATATCCCAGATTGGGATATTAGAATTCTGAGATGCAGAACAACTTTCCCAAAGTCACCCAGCATATTTCAACTCCAAATTGTGTGAGTACAGATTCCTTTTCTTTCCAATAGAGTCATACTGGGTTTTGGTTAAGGTGATTAGAATTACACTTAGCTCTCAAATAAACATTTTATATCTCACAAAAGTGATCATTTTGCATTTCTTAAAAGGCCAGTCAAGATTCTAAAAGCCATTAAATGAGAAAGGATGTATGATATGTATGATATCCTTTACATAGTGTGATACTATATAAAGGATAAGCTTCATATCCATTGTCTTCCCTGAAGTAGGAAAGATTTTCCTGGCGTTTGCCTTCTATCCCTCTAAAGGCAAGACTAAAGGGAAAAATTCTCAAGAACTTTAAGAAATAATGTATCTTTTTATATCTAGGTAGAACTGGGTTTCAATCAGGCTCCACTTCACACTTGCTCATGAATTTGGACAAGTTATTTACTGTTTCTGAGACTCAATTTTATGTTCTGAAAAATTGGGAAACTATTTCATAATGTTGCATTGAAGACCAAATAATATGATGTACATAAAGTCCATGGCACATCCTAACCATGATCATGAAATCAGATATTAGAAGAGGTAACTATCAAACTCACTAAACCAATTAGACAGTCCCAGCCTTCTGCTAGCCAATAAGGAGACCAAGGAAGTTTAAGAAGCTTATCATAAACATGATTAAAGCAAACCTCTAACAAAGATCAATGTCTCATTAATTTTGATTTAACATTCAAATTTCAATTTTTTCTATAGCCCATGTTATTATACATCTAGGTTTGCCTGAGACAATTCTCATATAATTTTAATAGGGCCTACTTTTACTCTAAAAATTTCCACAGTTTGGATGATAAACTATGAGATCACGCTGCTTAAAAGGGATTTTTTTTTGGCATTCACTAGTTCTATTGCATTTTGCTCTTTAAGGATAAGTAGATGATACTTGCTGAACTGTATAAAATTATGTACTCACTTGAATTTATGAAATGCCAATCTCAAGCCAAATTTGAAGAGATAATTCTAAAATTTTGTATCATGAAAATAAAACAGCTATTAAAACAAATAGTCATTTGAAATGGAAATGTTTAGGGTGCTAAGTATTTTATACCATTGTTTCTCCATGCATTTTGGTATTCAAACAGCTAAAGACAACCATAAATCCTGAAAGCATGAACATTCAAGAGTCCTGTATGGCCAGATAAGTTGAGTTCTAGAGTTTTTGGAGTTGAACAGATGGCTTAGGTGTCCTTTTAGTATCTGCTCTGCCTGCATCAAAAGGAGAAAAAAGTGACAAAGTATTCTTTTAAGATCTTTCTTTCATGAATATGCATAAATATAGCATTCATGAATCACTGAGATGTAGGAGACTGTTAAATTGCCTTTTTGCTAGAGTTTTTTTCTTTTTTTTTTTGTAAAGAAAACTTATGAGTCACCATACTTTTGGCTCAATTGCAATTCCTTTTTTAGAGGTCATTTTTGAATCTCTTCCACTGCTGGTATGTAGGCTGGAATCAAATGGAAGCATGAAGATCAGCTAATAATGACTTATTAAAGTTCTTTATCTTGCCCTGTAGCCCAAACCTTTCTAATGACAATGTAGGTGCCGAGGGTTTAATTCAGATTGTCATTAATAAACAGCAAAGATTATCGGGCAAAATAATAATAATAATAGACAGAGAAAAGGAAAAATAAACTTTCTTAGTAGAACTTACTCTGCTCTATTACCTATTGTATCACTATTTGATAACCATTTGAAAGCATGAATTTGCCCTAGAATCTAGAAAGATCTTATTTCCTTCTTTAAAACACTGGACATAAATCTTCAGGTATTTCCTGGTATTTTTCCTGGTTCTAAAACATGAAGAGCAAATATATTACATTGATTACCATTAACCCTGTCACACACCTGACAAATCTTAATGATCTGGATTTTTTCCTCATCTAATACCTCATCATCATTTTCATTCCAACTTGAAAAGCAGGTACTTTCAATTAAGTGGCATTAGAATCTTGATGAAATCAGTAAGCCTTTCCTAGCACAGATTTGCTAAGGCAAAAGGAAGAATGTAATTGTTTAGTTCTCGCCTTTTAAAAATGTAGGAAATTAGTTGGATATTTAGCTTGTTTTCTTTTCTATTATTTAGGGCTTTGTTCTCCTCTCCTTTAAATCATTTGTGTAGGTAAAAGCACTGATTTGATCAGCTTTTGCTAGGTTATTCTGTTATAACTGTCAAGGTCTAAGTGACTCCAACAATAAAATTTATTTCTTGCTCATGTTGACAGTTCAACTGCAGTTTTGCTCCTGTTCCATATGTCTTCCTCATTCTAGGGTCAGGTTCATGTCATTTACCTGGCTCACGCTCTTCTCATGGCAGAAGGAAAGCCTGAGACATAACTATTAGTAGTTCTTGGAGCCTGTGCTAAGATGTGGTGCACATCACTTCTGCGATTTTATTGGCCAAAGCAAGTCAAATGACCACCAATGTCAATAGGAAGAAGGTCTTGCACATCATTTAAAAATGGGTATAAATGTGTAATCCTCTTATGGGGATGTAAGTGAGTATTCATGAATAATAATAGACTTCTTACATGGCATATATTTGTTTGCTTATAAAACAGTGCTTGTGCCCCATGAAATACATTGGAATAGAGAGAGAGAGAGAGGACTGACTGCCTTTTACTTAAGTGCAATAAGATAACAGTTCAGATTTCCTGCTGACTCTGGGAGATACTTAATCTCCTGGAAAGACACATCTATGAATTTTGCTTGTGAGCTGGCAGATAAATGGAAGGTGTGTGAACCCAAGATAGGGTTGATTTTTCCCTCAGTGTTTTTATGCTGCTTTGCACCTGGACTCCATGAGCTAGATCAGAGAAAGCCCACAGAACATTTTTGCAGAATAATGTCACAAATGCCCACATAATTTTAATTACAGATCAAGCTTAAATGGATAATTTAAAATATGCTCCAATCATATAGAGGGAGAGTAAATTATCATCTATTATTGACTGAAAGAACTAGAAAGACAAGTAAATGGTTGCTAGGCCCTTTGCTATCATTTAGAGAAATAGAAGAGCACAAAAATGGTAAAGCCATGAGCCTGCAGATATGTAAGAGAAAGATTTTTTTTTTTTTGTCGTTGTTATATTTGTTTTTAACAGAAGTTTGGAACAAGTGAAAGAAAAGAGTTTCACTGGAAATCTTGCCTTTCTAGTGGAAAAGAGGGTGAAGACTTTAATAAATAAATCTAACATTTGTGAACTGGAGGTGATGGCTGAAAAAAAATAAAGGAAGGATCACAGAGCTCTGTGAAAGTTTGGAGAACTTGTCCTAGCAAGTTGACACAATATGACTTGAAAATGATACACTGTTGGTGTCCTTTGCCCTGACTATAGGTGACAGATGACTGGAACAGAAGAGGGGTACTGATCAGGGAGAGAAAAAACAAAAACAAAAAAAAACCCAACCTTCCCCTCTATCATTTCAAAATAAATATGTACTTATGCTTGGAAATGGAAGGATAAAGGCAAAAGGCATTCTACATTTTAATCAAATGCCTTTACCCATGCTACACAGAGCTTTGGCATTATCTGCGAGACTGTTAGAAATGCAGACTCTCAGGCCCCAGCTCAGAAGTAGTGAATTCAAATCTGACTTACACAAGATCTCAGGTGATCTGTTTGCACTTTAGATAAGTTTGGGAAGTACTGATCTAGGATGACTAGCCCCTTGCTAGGGAATGTGTGTATGTTATTTTACATTATCATTACCACATACACTCATGGTATTTGTTTCTAACATTTAAGAATTAGAGAACTTAATCTCATAAACTGGGCAAAATCATACATATGTTAAGTAGTGAATTAAGGATTTGGACCCAGTTCTGTGACTCCAAAATCTTTATCTTCCCCATTCTGCTATTTTCTTGTATTTATTTTTGTACCCATGAAAGAAGAAAAAATAAAAGCTCTGCTTCCTTTGGACCTCAATTTTTTAAAAAGTCAAAACCCAGAGCTTCCTTTACTCATATTTCCGCCCTATCTCAATCTTCTCTCCTCCCTGTCTCAATCTTCTCTCTTAGTGTTGATATGTACAAAGATGTGCTCTATACACTAAGAAAACACCAAAAATTTAATCACAATTCTTGTTGATCATTCAAAGGAATAAGAAAAATTTTTATAAATGACTATGTTTTATCAATTCTGGATGCCAGTCATTTTTATAAAATTGTCAAAGCAACTAGTATATGGATATGATTGACTATTTATAATTATGTTTCACAAGGATAAAACTGGAACTCACAGATCATTTAATCACTGACTCAGAGCTATAAAAAGATTTAGAGATAATCTCATCCTGTGCCCTATGACATTAGGTTACTTTCCAAGGTCACTTATTGCAGAGACATGGTTAAAACCCAAGTATTCAGATTGCCAGTTGTAGGGTTCATCCTTTTCTAGTATGTATCATACTGCTTCAAAGAGGAAGTTAAGAGTAACTATCAATTAGAAATCATTAGGTGAGTACACAAATTTTGCATGATATTTTAAGGCAAACAACCAGTACTGAGATCCTCTTCCCAAACCAGTCAAAGGCCCATTTCTTGAGAGGTAACCAGATAAAATAAAATGGTTGTAAACCAAACACTCCCTGATGGTTCTTGGTAGGAAGCCATGTTTCCCCAGCTTCAAGCCTTTCTGTGAATTCTGTCCAAAACAGGGTTGGATCAGATTCTTACTGAGATCCTACTTGACTTAATCCTTGACTTGGGGTTACTAGGGAATTAAGACATATTCAAAGGAAAAGAAAAGGAAAAAATAAGCAGCTGGAGTTTGTGTGCTCGTGTATGCTTCTATGTATGTATACACAATAGTTTAAGCCTGGCTAAGACTTTTATGATTCATGTCATTTCTTGTAAACAGACTTCATCTCAGTTCTTAGTGGTTTTTCAGTAATAAGTTATTTGTTTAGCAGGGAAAATAAGTGTTTCTCTCTGTGATTGCCAAACTGGTGCTGGTCTTTCTGCAGAGCACATTTCCTCATCAGGAACTCAGGCCCTCTAAATAGGACAGAGCAACAAGTATTGGCATGCAGACAGGAACCTGCAGAGAGTGCCAGCTGACTCTTCAGTTTCTTCACCAGGTACAGTGCAGAGACAAAAAAGAAACAGCACACAGCTGAAGGAAGAAAGGGATATGAAATAAATATGATAGATGCAATGGAGGTAAGATATTGAAAAGCAGAGAATAATATCAAGGGCACCAGTAGAGCCAGACTAGGTTGGAGAGGATAATGTTCTTAGGAACACTTTCAATAGGAGCCTATAATAGATTTATAAAATTCTGTAAGTTTTTCTAAATTTCTTTTTTTATTCTGAATAATTGGCTAGTCTCTTCTTGCTGGTCTATGTGCACATGTAAGTCAAATATTAAAAATATATGCCCTGATTTAAAAGAATGTCTGACACACAGAGAAGGCCATGTGAAGACAGAGACAGAGATTGGAGTTATGTTGCCATGAGCCAAGGGACACCAAGAATTGCTGGCAACTACTACAGGCTGGGAAATGGGCATAGGATGGATTCCCCCTCCAAGCTTCCTGAAGGAAACAACCCTGCCAAAACCTTGGTTTTGGATTTCTTCTGGCTCCAGAACTATAAGACAATGCATTTCTGTTGTTTTGAACCACCTAATTTGTAGTAATTTTTTATGACAGCCCTAGCAAACTAATATAGATAATTAGGTGAATGGATTTCTAACAATATGCATAATTTTAAAAGTATTCTAATTTTTAATGTCATGAGAAAAATGTATCACAAGCTAAGGTAAAAATTTTATAGTGTTTTCTGTATTTCATGTATAAGTAAACCGAGGCATAGAGAAGACAGCAACTAGAAATAAAATTCTTAGCTAACTTTAAAAAAAGTGTTTATTTAATGTTATTCTCCATCAGGTAATTGCTATGGTGGTCTGTGTGCATCTTCTCATTTATTCATAGAAAGACTACTCTTCATGAGATAAGTATTTCAGTCTCTAGATTAAGTAACAGGCTAGTAAGCAACAGAGTTGGGCCTGAACCAGATCTGTCTATTCTAAGTCCATGCTTTTAAACATGGGTCAGCAAAATTTTCCTGTAAAGGGCCAAATAGTAAATATTTTTGGCTATGCAGGACCAATGATCTCCTCAGCAACTTCCCATTTGTGATCATGTCATTGTAGATAATACCCGAGCAAAAAATAGCAGTGTATATGGGCTGCTGTAAGAGAACACCATAGACTGGGTGGCTTATAAATGATAGAAATGTATTTCTCATAGTTCTGAAGGCTGGGAAGTCCAACATAAAGGTGAATTCAGTGACTGGTGAGGGCCCATTCCTCATGGGTGGCACCTTCTGGCTGTGTCCTCACATAGTGAAAGGAGTAAACAAGCTCCCTTGGGCCTCTTTTGTAAGAGTACTAATCCTATTTATGATCTATTCACCTCCCAAAGGGCCTACTCCTAATGCCATCACCTTGGGGCTTAGGATTTCAACATATGAATTTTGAGGGAACATAAACATTTAGACCATAGCAGAAATCTAGAATAAGATTTCTGGTTTCCCGCAGAAAATTGGAGGAGAAGAGTGAAACTGACAGAAGAAAATAGATCTCGAGTTTTAGACCAATGCAGATCCACATTCTTTTCTTTTCTTTTTGTTGTGTGTGTGTGTGTTTTTTTATTTTTACCTCTATTTCCATCATATTCCAAAAACTATCTGCTTGAGATAAAAATGGATTAAGTATTGCAGTGTTTAAGGCAATTTTAAAGTGTATTTTTATATAGATTCTGCTATGAATGCGGTAGCTGAGTATTAGAAAAATGTCTTGAGGGAAAACTCTTCCAAAAATAATATTTCTAGCAAAAGACAGAAATGGTATAGGAATTGGTAAGCATTTTCTGTTACCTATACTTCAATCTAATAGCCTATGCTTATTTTGAACAGTTAATTGCTTTTACTAGTAGTGGTTATTTATATATAGTAGTGGTTATTTATATGTAGTTGCTTTCTGATTTCATGATACTTAGAATAAAATTCAGGTAAACTGTGCATTTGCTCTACTATTGCCTGATTTCTATATAATAGAAATATGTAGAATTCATTTTTCTCTGTTATTCATTCGAGATTTCATCTTATAATTGATTTCTGCATTGTTCAGCTCACAGTAAAGTATATCAGTGCAATATATACTAAATGTTTGTGTCCCGCCCCACCCCAAATTCATATGTTGAAATTCTAAAGCCTAATGTGATGGTTATGGAACTGGGATTTTGGGGAGCCAATTAGGCCATGAGGGTGGAGCTTCACTAATGAGATTTTTTTAATAAGATGGACCCCAAGGAATTTTCTCAGCCTTTTTCTGCCATGTGAGGATACAACCAGAAGTTAGCAACCCGGAAGAGGGCCCTCACCCTAACCTGACATATTAATCTCAGACTTTCAGCCTCTAAAACTATAAGAAGTAAATTTCTGTTGTTAATAAACTACCCAGTATATGGTACTTTTTACAGCAGCCCAAACTAAGACAATCAACCGATGCAATGTATAAGTTCAAAGATTCACAAAATGATAGCATTTATATCCCATCCATTCAATTACTCTGTGTATCAAGAGAAAAGACTTTTGTTTATTGTCAGTTGAATTATTGATTTCCTTAGCTGTTTTAGTAAGGTCATTTTATTAACCCCTCTGTGAAATCGGTGTATTAGAGGCCTTTTAAAATCTGCTTGATGGGGGATATGCATTCTATATCAGAGAGCCCTATCTTAAACCACAAAGTATGCTGAAATATAGTGAAGAATCATTTCTGGTAAATGTACAGACCATGTGCCACTGTTTCTGTTCTTTTACCTATGAGAGATTCTCTTGACAACCAGGGAGAGAACTTGGGAAAAGCAGGAAGAAGGCTAGGCTTCCAGGAGTCCCTGAGGACCTTGGAGGTTATCCATGTTTCCAGATGAGCAGACTCAGAAAATAAGAAATTTGTTCATTACTAATCAATCAAGTGTTTATTGAAGTTACCATGTAACAAGTTCTGGCTGAGTATTGAATTTCCAGTGGTAAATAACACCAAAATATGTACAAATGTAAACATGAATAAACACCTGAAAATAAAAATATACGGAAAAAATACACATATATACATCTATATACATATATATTATGTATATATACATATGGTGGGTGTATATATGTGTGTAAATTATATATATGTGAGTATATATGTGTTTATGCACATATAAAACAAAATTATAAGAATTATGTATGTGTGTGTATGTGTATATATGTATACCTATGTGTGTGTGTGTGTGTATGTGTGTATAGGTATATATTAAAATATCCTTGCCACAGGGGCAATGATCCTTTTGTAATTTTTTTTTTTCTTTGGAGACAGAGCCTCACTTCATTGCCAGGCTGGAGTGCAGTGTGACAATCTCAGCTCACCGCAGCCTCCACTTCCCAAGTTCATATGATTCTCCTGCCTCAGCCTCCCGAGTAGCTGGGACTACAGGTGCCCACCACCACGCCCGGTTAATTGTTTGTATTTTTAGTAGAGACAGAGTTTCACCATGTTAGCCAAGATGGTCTTGATCTCCTGACCTCGTGATCCTCCCGCCTTGGCCTCCCAAAGTCCTGGGATTACATGCGTGAGCTGCTGTACCCGGTCAGCAAGGATCCTTTTTAAACCTACAGAAACCTTGTCTGTTGTTAGGGATAATACATAAATTTTAGAATCTTAGATAAATAAGTGAATCACTTCACATAAGAAAGGAACCAAAAAAGAAAGAAAAAACTTATCATCTGGTGGTAGAAGGAGGGGCTGAAAGAACGGGAAAGAAGGAGTAGGAAATAGAGCCAGCACAGCTTGAGCTTAGATGGGAGAAAAAACTCTATTTGAGCAGTTAACATGAGGCTTAGTGCATTTCAGGGATAAATAAATCCATTATTGTTGTTGAAATAATCTGGCATCTCTTCTGTAAAAATATCCTTTAAAAAGTTCAGTAATGATCTAGACTACTGTTTGGGCATTGAAAGTTTTAAAGTTTATTTATTTATTTTGTAAAACAAGACAATTCAGTTTAGTTGGGGTTACACATGGTTCTTGCCCTCACTAAATGCAGAATTGAGATAATAAATATCTGGTGCTTAGACTTTATTTGGTTTACTTCAGGAGAGCGCTGCAGTGTGACTTGCTGGCAAGAGAAGACAGAAAGTGTCATTATACGTGAAGTCATTGAGGGATTCTCTTCCTTGCTGAGTTGTAAAGGGGTGACTTGAACCATGTTTCAAATGACCTTTAGGAGATATCAGACACAAGTGTGGCTCACCAGTGGGGTCACTTCATTTCCCCTTTGTGACTTAAGCGCTGGGCTTCTTTTCCAGTGGTAGTGGTTATAGAGTAACAATCACTGAATTATATAAAACAAGGTTCTGGCTTCATTTCTGCCACTAACTAGTTTTATGACTGTGATCTATTACTTAATTTCTTGATGCCTATTTCCTTAAAAACAACAACAAAAAAGTTTCAATGCAAGATAATTTGCAAGTCATTTTCTTATAATCTGTTGACACACAGAGGACTTTTCCAAGGAAAGTCCATGATTTAAAAGAATTCTAGGAGATAATCCTTTAATAAATTTTTATGTGTTTTTAAACAAGAAGTTGTTTCTAATTTGTTGTATAGGCTTGGATTTTTTTGTACATAGCATTTTCTTTGACAAGTGATGCATGCTTATACCCAAATGCCACAGGTACTACTGTAGAACTATAAATTTGTGCTCCTTGCTTAAAACTATAGCTCATTGGGAGTTTTTATATACCTTAGAAAAACTGCCCATGGTACATTAACTGGAGTGACAGACTGTTTCTGTATGATTTTAAAAGAAGTAAAATTACCCACATTTATAAGTTGGAAAGTGACATATGGCTACTGCCCAATAGTCAAGTCTATCTTTTAGGTATAAGATGCAATACAAAAATCACTGTATTATAAATACTTCTCTTATTTGTTAATGCATACTTCCAGTGGTCAAATTATTTTATGCTAGAGTTAAATTTTTCCTTAATAGTACTTATAAACTTACAAAGTTTGTTTATACTGGGTCCTTATTATTATTATTATTATTATTACTTTCTAAGAAAAATGTTCTGAAACGTTACTGGATATCTCTAGCCATTTCTTTCCATTAAGCACATGAAGGCATAACAATTAAATTTTTCAAACAAGTCATTAGAGTTTATAAGTGAAAATTAACATAAGTTTTAACCAAATTGAAAAAATGGAGAATTAACAAAGTATTTCTCTTGTAGCTTATGGCTTAGTCAAAAGCTTTTGTCACTGTTGTTGTTGTTATTATTTGTATGGTTTTATCTTTTTCAATTGATAGAAAAAGGCACCATTGACTGATGTCTATCTTTGATTCCAGGTATGTGAGCCAACTGCAAAATTAAAATTAAATTTCTTATATGGTATATAAGAAAGTAAAAGCAAGTTTTCATTTTGAACTCTGCATGAAACATAGATTAATGAGTAGAGAACTCAGATATGTTGTGAAAATTCGTATTAGAAAGTAGGACACATTTTAGCCATGAATAGCATTTTATCATCACTTCCTTCTTATTCATGAATATATTTTGGGACAGACATATCTAAAGTTTTCTGAGAGTAAAAATGGAGGAGCCATATGTGTTTATTTGCTTCGCAAAGCATATTCAGGAAAGGCACCATCACATTATTTAATCAGTACAGGACTATTCTCACAATTCTCTGAAGCACAAGTACATCTATTATGAATCATAGTCTGATTTACCATTTTTTAAAATAAATAGCAGTTTTCTATATGATTGACCAAATTGATTTTGCCAAGATGCAAGTCAAACAAAGTAATTGGCTAAAACATGCAAAACCAGCAACAACAACATCATCACCAAAAAGTTTTTAAAATGTTGCTGGGAGCCCTGGCTCATGCTTGTAATCCCAGCACTTTGGGACACTCAGGTGGGTGAATCGCTTTAGCCCAGGAGTTCAAGACCAGCCTGGGCAACATGGAGAAACCACGTCTCTACAAAAAATACAAAAAAAAATTAGCCAGACAGGGTGACATGCGCCTGTAGTCCCGGCTACCCATGGGGTTGAGGTGGGAAGATGGCTTGACCCCAGGAGGTCAAGGCTGCAGAGAACTGTCATGGTGCCACTCCAGCCTGGGTGACAGAGGGAGCCCTTGCCTCTTTTTTAAGCTAATTTTCACACAATATCAAGTATAAGACTGAAACTGGGCAGGGCTGACAGACAATTCTTTGTTCTGTAAATTTATACCATATTTAGGCCATATTTTGGAGTTTTAATTTTTCAAATTAGCTCTGAGTATTAGCCTTTGTCTTTTATATTAGAATACTGATGATTTCTGGGTTTAAATAGGCTTTATTTAGCCCTACCACAACTTATTCATTAGAGTTTAAAACTCTAACAAGCCATCTAAGCATTGCTGACCCCTCTGATCTCTGTTCCTTTTTCTTAATCACAACTACGGAAAGCAACACACAGCAAGTCTAAACAAAGGCAGAAAGCAGGCTGTTGAGATTCTGGGAAATTCTAATTCCTCCTAGGGAAGAGGACAAGTAAACAGCTGAAATGTAAGGCTCTGTTCAGATCAAGACCACGTCATTATCATCTGTTTCACAGGGTTTCTATTTCTAAAGTGAGCACAAACTCTTAACACATACTTATTTTCAGTATTCCGAACAGAAAATAATATGCTCAACAACAGTACCCTGCACATTAACTCTTTTCTCACTATTGAGAAAAGCAAAGCATCTGGTGTTGCCAGTTGCTAGGCATTTTATATCACTGCAAAGTCCTGCTTAAGCATTGATTTCCAGCATAGGGGTCAGCCATGTATGCATGAGGTCTGGAGGCTTTAAATAGCAGACTTGTGGATATATATTCATTTAAATTCATCTCTATGTGTTCAAGTTTATTTTGCAAATGCATAAGTGTACTAACCTACTCCATGTTGGAGTTATTCCTATGGAAACAACACTAGTTAATAAATGCCTGATTCCACATATCATTGTGCTAGACACTAATAACTGAATAAACATAGTACCTCTGCTTCTGGTTTGTTACATCTTTAAAGGTACCCTAGAAGACTAATCAATGAATAGTCGATAAAGGGTGACCATTTAGATTGACTTCCTAACATCATCTTGAAGGCAATTTTCAGTTATTGTGAAGACTGGTGAGGAAAGTGCTCCTGGATAAGCCTAGTTTAAGAAACCTCCAGAGGAAGAACTCTTATTAGGATAAGGGTTTTGCAGAAAATCCCCTTGTGCTGGGGAGCTTCCCCTCCCACATACGAAATTACATGATGACATTGCCTCTGGTTTGGAAACACTGTGGGTATGCTTGATGTGGGTATGGCTATTTTAGGTTTGATGTTACACTAAGGGAAAGGAAGCGGAGATCTAGGATCTGCTTAGCTACACGAACAGATAAAGGGAAGTCACAGAGGAAAATTGGGGAAGGAACAGGAATGAATTTGAAGATTGATATGATGTATGTATCACTCAGAGAAACGGGAGTCAGAATTATTGAATATTATGCATATTTAATCCTATTGGCAAAATTGCCATTTTTTTGAGATGAATTAATCAATGTTGATTTTAGGCTAATGCCATTAAATGTTGGATTTCTTTATCTCCCCTTCTTCTGATTCCATGGTCACCAAGCAACCTTCTGATTGTGATCTGGTGTTCTTTACAAGTCTAACTACAGAGAAAGAATGGCTGATCCTATAGACTTCAACAATTTTCTGTCCTCAGACAGTGATTTATCATAATGAATAAATAAAATGACTTCTGACTTTGATGTGGCTTCTCTTGTAGTTCATTTTAGGAACAGGATGAGCTGATCATGCCAATATGAATATTATAAACCAAGTGAATTTCTTATTATAAATTAATAAATTGATATTCCAGGGTCTACTCAGAATATATGTTGTAGTCTCATATATTTTTTAGACAGTGTCAGGCTGTCATCATAGTCTGCTAAGTCCTAGGCAGATGACAAGAAAGACTCCCTAGACTTTTGAAATAGAGGC